GTCGCGATTTCTATCAACGGATACCGGTGATAATTGTCGGTACAGCACGTATTTCCTCGTCAAACTTATATGGTCAGCTCGCAATTATCCGAAGAACGAATACCCATCCCATCACAGGCAGTACAATGCAGTTTCCGTGTCCATAGTAAAAAATAATTAATTGATTTCTAGTTATTTGTTATTAATTCTCGATCGTAATTAAAATAGAAATTATCTGTACTCGTAACATTATCGATTTTTCAGGATGGGTTTTTGAAATTTGTAAGCCAAATAGAAGAACAGCGTCCTTTAGCGATTGATACCGGAGGGTTTACCGAATATACTCTATAGGATTATGTGAATTGTCACGAAATTTTCATGTTCACACATCACTTGGATATAATCCGGACATTTTATTACTTTATTACTGCTCCTACGCATTACCTCTTTATTTTAATTCCTTAAGAACAATTATTACATGAACACGGACTATAAAAACGTGCCAGACCTGTTGTAACATATCAAATATGAAACGAACCGTTTGCGTAAGACGGGTCAAAGTAATTTTGCTATATTCAAGATTGATAAGTAACTGAAAACTGACAGTTGAGGCTTCTTAGATGTAGTCAAGGATAGAGCTGATACGTAGATAGCTGTCACTCATTTAAACATGGCGTTGGTGGTCTTATGCACTCGTGAACAAAGACTACGTAAATAATTGTGGTCATTAAACTCGAACTCGTCCATTATGACGAACAGTTCGCCAAGTGAACCAACCCATAGACACAACCCACTAAGTTTGTCGCCGGTTTCTTCTCAGTGGGTCGCGATTCCGATCCGGTGGTAGATTCTGCGAAGCATAGCTCTTCCTAGGGCTAGTGTTAGCAAATTCTCTCATGTTGAGCCCGTGTTGCGTTGTGGTAAATAAGCGTGGACTGTATTTATTTATTTTGAGATATTTATTAGTCTTTATGTGACAAATTAAAGATTGATTAAAACAGAAACATGAAATCGATGGCTGGAATAGCCTCTTAAGCTACCAGCGAAAATATAGCAGAAAAATAAACCTAGTCTTTAATGTCACCAAAGAAAATACTTTAAAATTTAAAACTGCAAAATAGAATTCCGTGTCGATATTATGAGAAATTGTTTAGCTTTAGAAATGTGAGCATGGATAGGAGCATTTATAAAACAAACAAATCCAAGAATCTAGGATCGACTTGCACATGCGTTCTATTTAAAAGAATGGGGTTAGCTAATGTAAACAGTCTGCTCCAGTGAAACTGACTAATTACTGCACGTTGGTGATCGCTGAAATCGTATGCGCCATAGTTCATTTTGAAACAGAATCATCAATAGGGACGTTTTCAAATTTGTGACCAAAAACGAGTTATTTGATTTAATTCTCATAACCTTAAATGTTACCGCAATTATAAGTACAGTAAATTTGTTGTCATGACAACAGGCGCGTGGTCCTTTAACTATATATTCGTAAACACTGTTAAATTAGGAGTTATACATTAAAAACTACCCCAAATATCATTCGTATCACTGGGTCGAAATTCAAATTCTAACTTGTTTGCTATGAAAAATAGTAATGCGTGTTGAAATTCGGCAAATTCTTTTAATCAGTATATAATATACAATAATAAAGGAAAATTAGCTGGATATTAGAATGCAGTCTATTTAATTACCATCATCCATTTTTTTTAAAACTGCAAAAAAGGGGTATTTCAAAAATGCCAATGGCCTGATTAGGTTTATAAAGCCAGTCGAGATTTACTGGATGTATACCTATATATTACAAAGGATGTTTATCCAAAAATGAAGATTACGTTATTTTAACGATAGACTACATAATTCCTTGACATCGACACCTAAAATACGTACAATTACCAAACCAATTACCGATCGCTTAACTACTAATGCACTACGCTGTCGGCACATACACAGACGCGAAATTCAAAGGAATCGATCGCCGACGATTACGGTCAATTGAAAAATTAGGTTATACATCCATTGAGCAGTGCCGCACCGTGGGGTGACATCATACAGCTTTTTGGGACACAGCTGGGCATAAAGATTTAGGGTCGGCCTTATTCATGAACTTATGACATATGATATCGTTTATTTTTAATTGGGTATTTGCAGTCCATATGTTTGTCGGTTTGTTTGTAGCTATAGCTGGATGACGTCAGTTCAGGACCGGAACAAGTAGAGTAGAGTCTCTGTTCAACACTAGGCGAATCAGACTGAAAATGATGATGATGATGGGATCGGTTGTTTTTGTAAACATAGTTTTCAAGTTAATCTGTTTTTCCTAATCGTTGGCACATCACAAGGTATGTTAATATCGCCCATTTATTCGTGAAGACATGCTCATTCACAGGTTATTGGTAAACTATATTAAAGTGGTGATGAAATATTTATATAAAAAAACTTCGTTTTTAAATTGTTTAAGACTATTTCTGCCTCTTCGAGTTGCTCAGATTAATCGTTGAACATGGTTCCGTTAAGTGTTAGTGGTGCGGTGTGCTCTCACAGCAACAAAAGTACCTAGAGATACGGCGTTCAATCACACAGTCCATTATCAGAGATCATTTGAGACTCCGGAATGGCCTTCTCTTTATAGTGTTTCCCGTATTTTATTCTTTTCATTGTAGGCGGCAAAACGCCATAACTCTACGATAGTAACTACTTACTATCAGACAATCTGTAGAAATAGTCTGTCCTAGTAAGAATGTAGAACAATTTCTTTCAGCAATCTTCGACAATACAATTCAATCTCTCTATTGGTGGTAGGAACTCTTGTGAGTCCGCATCGGTAGGTACCACCCTGCCTATTTCTGCCGCGAAGCAGTAATGCGTTTCGGTTAGAAGGGTGGCGCAGCCGCTGTAACTATACTGAGATCTTAAAACTCATATCTCAAGGTAGGTGGCGGCATTTACGTTGTAGATGTCTATGGGCTCCGGTAACCACTTAACACCAGGTGGGATGTGAGCTCGTCTATCCATTTATGCAATAAATAAATAAAATTAAAATCATGGAATATTTAAAAGTGAAAATTCAGATTTGACTGCGAAGCTGTATACCATTATAGAGACGAAGTCATTAAAATTCCCCTCAACGATTCCTAGTTCAGGGCAGTACGCAGAAGCCTGCAATTTGCAAACGCGCAGCTTTCCCTTTAGGAAGTGGTTGCACTCGTCTCATTATCTGTGGCTATGTTTTAGATTCCAATCTAAACGTAGTCTCTGCCTCCGTATCGGGCCGGTTCCAGGAAAAAAAGTCATAATGAATATTAATTTTACACAGGACTTCCTGTTTTCTTCGATTATACTGGAAACAGCCCGGTAGCTAATAGTTTCCGACACATAATTTGTTAATTTATATGTTGACGATAGACAGATAATATTACTGTTGATACAGCGTCTTTTGGGCCCGCGCGGGTAGGTACCACCATCCATTCCTGCCGTGAAGCAGTAATGCATTTCGGTTCGAAGGTTGGGGAAGCCGATCTACTGTTAAACTGAGACTTTGAACTCAAGTCTTATGAATGGTGGCGTTATTTACCTTATTCATGTCTATGGACTCCGATAGCTACTTAACACCAGATGGGTTATGATCTCGCCTTTCCATCTAAGCAATAAATATTATGTGTTAAAAAGTTACAGTTAGTCATGACGCTTATACGTGAGGTCTAGTTGTTGGGAGACAATTATTATTATTATTATTTTGTAATTTATACCCACGAAGCAAAAAGCTGTTATTGAGGGGACTGGTCGTAACGGCTTGAATGGAAAAAGCCGAGAGTAGTACAGACCCTAAGTCGGGAGATTTGTGGGCAGTGGCTCTAAAATAACTACATAGTTCCCGACTTATATTGGGTGCTGTAGTTGTAGAATCTTTGCGAAACTGAGACATGTAATTGAACTTTATCGATGCATATTCTCGTCTGTGCGACACTGTACAAAACTGAACAAATTGGAATTTTTGTTCTGTCTTTGATATCAATGGTGATAATGACGTCAGTAGCCATGACGTCATTATATTTTGAAATAAGTAAAGCTTTTGTAGTACGTACATATATCGAAATTTAAATTCAAAACGGTTTCCTCTGTCAAAGCACTATTCAATTAAAAAACTTTTGCTGATTAAACTGCTGTATTCATATATACCTTGTACGCTTTCCTGTAATTATTATAGAACCCTAACACCGTAGTGGAATACGAGATTAATGCACTCAATGCAACACGCAACTAGCACTCAACAGATTCACGCTCGAGTGTGAATTCAGTGTAATGTTTTGCTTCCGATCCGGGAATGAGGCCTTTGTGTTACCTCATTAAATAACTAGGAAGCTCAATCCAGCAAATAAGCTGATGTCTCAGCGATCATTTTGAGTTTCAAGGCATGAATTTGGTTACTGTCACTGAAGATTACGACTTCGTGGATAAAAGCTTTTAAGTTTTTCATAACAAAACATTCAACATAATAACTTTTGAAACTCTTCAGTTAGTCAGAATACAGAATACAAAATGGGGCACCTTTCATTCTTACAAAAAAGTACTAATGAATTGCCTCTGAGTGTCATACCAGGGCATTGTGATCACCTAATGTATTTAATTTGATGGTAAGTGTTTTTTATTTTATATTTTTATTGCTTGGATGGGTGGACGAACTCACAGCCCACCTGGTGTTAAATGGTTACTGGAGTCCATAGACATCTACAACGTAAATGCGCCACCCACCTTGAGATATAAGTTCTAAGGTCTCAGTATAGTTACAACGGCTGCCCCACCCTTCAAATCGAAACGCATTACTGCTTCACGGCAGAAATAGGCAGGGTGGTGGTAACTTACCCGCGCGGACTCACAAGAGGTCCTACCACCAGTAAGGTATGGTAAGCCGCTTGGAGCTAAATGAGCTGGAAAATTAAGACTTTTCTGCTGGCTATAACAGTTTGTCTAATATTGCTAAAACTAATTTAAATATGAAGCTGTAGTAGCATTTGGCTTACCTTACTCCTAGGGTAGACGCTCAATACATCAGCCCACCAGCGCGTCTCCTCCCTGCAGGTTCCTTTGACGAAAGTGATCCGTTCCGGCGTGGTGATGCCGAGGCTGTGAGGGTGCCCCGTAACACTGTCAGCCTCGCGGACCTCCAGGACTGATGTCATGTCGATGCTGGCTTGCGGGACCGTGTCTGGCTGTAGAACAAATTCGGTCATTAGTCATTTGCGATGTGTGTGTGATATGTAAACACAATATTGGCATTTTTTTATGTGTGAAAATTGTTTAATTATTGATTGTAATTAATTTCATATTACGTTAGTATCTTTTCTGGTTTTTTTGTAGTCGTAAACATAATTAAGACAAATGTTTAATAGCGAATTTTTTAATTGTCATTTGAAACGTAAAACTCAAACGAAACGATTTTTTTTAATTTATTTGGATGTTATACCCTATACCTATAGTTATACCCCCACCCTGCTTATTTCTGTCGTGAAGCAGTAATGCGTTTCGGTTTGAAGGGTGGGGCAGCCGTTGTAACTATACTTGAGACCTTAGAACTTATATCTCAAGGTGGGTGGCGCATTTACGTTGTAGATGTCCATGGGCTCCAGTAACCACTTAACACGTGGGCTGTGAGCTCGTCCACCCATCTAAGCAATAAAAAAAAAAAAAACATTTCCTCAGATCAGTATATAATCCAATATGCAACCATTACTGTTCACACGAATTTTTGTGTGACGTGTGAATTTCGTCTCACAACTCTCCTATTTAACCGTCCACATTTGCAGAAATCGAATAACAAAACATATTGAAGTTTACATCAAAACCGATTATCGTAAATATAATTAAAATACAGTCAATAAACGCGCAGATAGGCTATAACGAAATGCGTAATGTTTTAAGACGCGAACTAAACGATCCGAGTAGTTGAGGCGGCGCGGCGGCGGCGTTGCTGCTCGCTACAGACTAATGAATTCATTAATAACGAGCCCCCGCGAGAGCGCCAAGACAAATGGAACGAAATATTAAACATATATCACTTCGGTTACACATTTTATAGCGCACCTGTGACTTTGGCTTTAATAGTCAAACGCATCGGGCATTTAAGTGGGATGTTTAGTAGTTTATTTAAGACTGTTCGAACAGATGTTTGGCGGATTGATTGATTCTAACAAAACTTTGGAATCTACGTAACGATGCTACTTTATTTTGCTTATCGTCGCTGTCAAACCAAAATCGGCTATGTGCAAAAACTCTATTTTGAATCAACGAGTAAAAAGATTGTTGTATAAAATTTTATATGAAAGTGAATTTTTAAGAACTATATCAAATGAAAGCTATATCATATTAAAGCTATAGACACATAACAGTTTTTTTTATACGGCAGATAGGGCTGTGAACTATACGAAAAGGTCAAAGCAGATTTTGGTTTGACAACGACGTTATGCTAATTGCAATCGGAGCTGCGAAGATTTCGGTAGGTTGATGACTTGATTCTTCGATTAGATTTGAATGTTTGAAATCCTATTTGTTTACGGAATTGTTTTTTTATTTATTTAATTAAACAAGGCGGGGAATGCACAATAGAAGTCATCGGTCGTGAAGTTAGTCTCACTTGTTTAATTTTTATCCAGATTATGGTTCATAGCTATGTATTTATAAATATGTATCTATCAGTGACTAAGTAAAAAGCGGAACACAGGGAAATATGTTCAATATTGCTAATGGTTGGCAGCCTGTTGGCAGGGTTTTCATGTTTCTAAGGGCAAATAATTTTAATCTGGTAGTAGGATCTCTTGTGAGCACGCGCGGGTAGGTACCACCACCCCACCTATTTCTACCGTGAAGCAGTATGCGTTTCGGTTCGAAGGGTGGGGCAGCCGTTGTAACTATACTTGAGACCTTAGAACTTATATCTCAAGGTGGGTGGCGCATTTACGTGGTAGAAGTCTATGGACTCCAGTAACCACTTAACACCAGGTGGGCTGTGAGCTCGTCCACTCATCTAAGCAATAAAAAAAAATCGAACCTTTATTTCAAGGAAATTAATTTCCAACCCAAATTTCCTGGTAATGTCTTCTTTCAGAATAGTGGTATGACCTGTTCCGAGACCACACGGAACAGTACTATCGTCTATCCTATTTTCTCCGCAGAGCATCCTGCTTTCCCAACACACTTCACTAAGCAAGTTACATTTAAGTGAAATACCTTGTAAATGTTAATGTTATAATTTTTCATTAAAATTACAGTAATTAATTAATAGAGTTTTAGATCTTGTTACTTAGGTTCTGGGTTCTATTTATCCAATAAGACCGTTACGTTTTATGCTAAGCGTTAAAACTATATTCGTAACGATCGCTTATTTAATAATCGAAGCTCGATAAGTTGGGATCATTACAATGATATGCACATTACTTTACAAGTGTTATTGTTTTTTTATGTAACCATTTTTCACGTCTACGTTGGTATTTCTTAAAGGGTCACCAATTAACACCGGACGGGTCGGTTGTTTCTCGGCCTATCTACAGCATTTATCGACAAACACGCATTGAACAATAACCGTAATCTATTTGTTCTGTTGCTAATTAAGAATCATTAAGATTCTAAAGGTGCGTGTACAATTACATAGACCTCCAGACCTTGTACGTTTGATCCCGGTTCTGTAGAGTTTAATAGCGTAGCCGCCTTCGTATAATGTAACGTTTATCACTGCCCCTGGCCCGGTGCTTATCCTAGCGGTATGTTAATGTCTCGGCCGGTTGCGTTGTGGTGAAAAATGTAAGCTTCAGAGTTTCCGACGTTTGATGTCATCGTCGAAACAGACTATTCTTTTTCTCCACCTTATCCCACTAGGTGGGGTCGGCACAGCAATTTTTTCTCTTTCGTTCTCTTCTATCAGCCGTCATCTCAACACTCGCTCCTCTCTTTCTTATATCGTCATTCACACACTCCATCCATGTCTTCTTCGGTCGACCTCTTCCCCATCATCGTCGAAATAGTACTGGCCTTTTTTTTTAAATGATTGGGTCGGGTTTTCTTTTTCATGTTTTTCAGATAAATACTGGTTCTCTTAGTTTGGTAACATAAAGAACAAATTTAGTTGGTTGGACGCTTGAGATGGGCACGCCACGTGGCGTGAATGTACAAGGCCAGAGTATCCAATTGCCTTCTGGGAGGCCAGCCGGAGGGTCGCAGAAGTAGAGGCAGGCTCAAACTCAGATGTTTGGACGGCGTCAAACAAGATACCAAGAACTTACGGGTAATGAGTTAGAGAAGGAAAACCCCGAATAAATCGGACTGGGGAGATTTACCAGGCTTCTACCCAGTCGCAACAGTAATGCCCCAGTTGATGATGGTCGTAAGTATATACCGCTTATGGACATCGGCTATGGCAGAGGCATATCCAAGACGCTGCTTTGTGCGGTCAATTCTTTTCGAATCTAATGACTGACCGAATGACTGGGATAACAACGAGAAGAAGGATTTATATTCATAACAGACATTCATAGTACATGTACTTTCCCGTGTGCACTTATGATACCATCAGTAAAAGTTTCGGTTGTTGACGACGACTATATGCAATGTACGCGTTGACTTGTAGATATAATAATTAAAATGTTTAGAAGATGTTATTCAAGTTAAACGAAAATTTGATAATTGAGGGACCAGTTCCGTGTTAGGAAAATATCTCACACTTGTTTCCAACGAACATGCATTGAAGAGGAAAAAAAAAGAATGTTAACTGTAGCTTTCTGTAGTTTTAATTTTAGAATCTCATTACTCGTAGTTCATTAATCGTATTCTAAAGAAAGAAATTAATGGGAATTCTATTTTCAAAAACTGTGATAGTCATTATGAGAAAAAATTCAAATCGCTATAAGTCACAACTTACACCATACGAATGTAAGTAGACGTCAAAACATTGTGGTTGACGAGTGCAAAATAGAGCAGCCCGCATCCAAGCGAACGGGACCGGAGCGACCACGTAACGTAAACGTAACGATCACACGTAAAACGTTTTGCGGTTATCAAAGATTACAAAATATTTTTTTAGTCAATTACTTTTTTTTTTAATGCTTAGATGGGTGGACGATCTCACAGCCCACCTGGTGTTAAGTGGTTACTGGAGCCATCTACAACGTAAATGCGCCTCCCATCTTGAGATATAAGTTCTAGGGTCTCAAGTATAGTTACAACGGCTGCCCCCACCCTTCAAACCGAAACGCATTACTGCTTCACGGCAGAAATAGGCAGGGTGGTGGTGGTAACTAACCGCGCGGACTCACAAGAGGTCCTACCGCCAGTAAAAATACTTCTTCCGTTCGATATTGAAAGGCGAGCGACCACAGACCTCAAAACATCTAACGCGTTCGCTGTCACTTCGAAAATTTCGCAACCACCCAAACGACAACTTTGCAATTCTGTTACAATAATGATTAATGTCGCATACTGCGGCACGAACACGCACAAAACTATTTGATTTATTACGCCACTCTGGATCGCCGTAAAAGGTTTAATTCGACACATGCCGACTCGGTATTTATTTCGACACAGAATTCAGTCATTAGAACGATCAAGTGATAGTGAAAATGAATCATATGAAAATCGTATAAATTTATATCGAGTGTGTGTGTTGCGAAACTGTTATCCAGTGAGTTTGAGGATAATATTCGCTCATCATCAGCGGATTCAAACGAAACTACAATTTAGTTACGGAAATTTCATGGAAGTTAATGACATAATGGCGTTACGAACCAAAAGGACCAAAAATGAATACTGTAACTAGCTGACCCGGCAGACTTCGTAGTGCCTCATTCATTAAATAAAAGACATAAACTTTTGTATAAAATAAACTTAAAACAAACAAAAGGAATCCGTCCGACGGGGGACACATCAAAGGAAAAACAAAATTGCTATTTTTATTTAACTCGGAATTAAATTATAATTAATTTTATATATAAATATATTAAATATATAAATTTATATTAATTTATTATGTTGCGATTTTTATCAGTGAGTTTGATGACATTAACTACTTTATTTCAAAAAAGGAAATTTAACCTTTCAGACATCGTAATAGACCCTTTTTTTTTTTCGGGCCGGGGGCCGAACCTCCTACGAGGTCCCCGCGCCTAGGGGGCGCGCGGGGTATGTGAGACTCAACGATCTGCAGGTGTTGAGAGCAGATCGCG